TTCTCATGAATATTGGTTTTGTTGTTGTTGTTGTTTTGGGTCTTCTGATGCCTGTTACTTGATCCTGTCAACACCTTATGATCACATAAATTGGTGTGCTTCTTCCATGTGTGCTTGTTGCTTCTCTGCCTGATGGCTGGTTGTTTAGCACTAAGCTTTTAAGACCCCAGGTGCTATATCTTTTAATAGCTGGGCACCATCAGCTTTCTTTACCATATTTGCTTATATACTCTGTTTCCTTTTACCTACTTTCTGACTGGGAAAAAATTTATCCTCAGACTCTAAAAAGGAAAAGACTGATATTGTTTTGTAATTCAGCTTGGCCTCAGTATAAATGAGGGAGTAAGGAAATTTGGTCTGAAAATGGTAGTCTTAATTTTATCATTTTACAATTAGATTTGCTTTGCAAGAGGCAAGTAAAGTGGGCAGAGGTCCTTTATGTGCAGGCCTTAACGGCACTGTGTGACGCTCCCAAATTGTGCCAAAATGATAAGATTGGCCCTGCCTTCTAGTTGGTCTTGGGAAAGAATAAACCAGAACCTGAGCATGTAGACACTGGCTCCCAGTCTCCACAAGTGGAGCCCCAGGAGCCAACAGCTCCCTTGACTCCAGAGCTCATGTTCCTTAATTAGAATCTGTAAGTCCCAGGAAGAGCAATGCAGTGAAGGTAGGGGGAAGAACAATCAACTTTTCTCTTTCTGAGAAACTCCAGGGCCGGATGGCATAGTCAGGGTCCAAGCCCTATTCACCTGCAGAACCTAACAAACATTAAAAATAAATTAGAGAATTTTACTGATGACCCAACAAACTGATTAAGCAATGAGGAAAGAGAGTGTTAAAAGATAAAAGTTTATAGCTTATCTGCTCCAGATATCAGAAAGGAATTATGAAGTGGAAGATGTAAGTTTTTGAGAAAGCAGCGGGGTGGGATGGGGGGGAGTAGTATGCCTACAGAAAATAAGTTTAATAGAACTTTGCCTGTTTAGCATTAAGCTTGCTCCTTGCATATTAAAACAACAACAACAACAAAACAAACTCAAGAAACTGAAATGCCCAATGCAGGCAGAAGCAAGTCTACCCCAAAGTCATGGCTTCTGAAGTCAGTGAAGTAAAAGAGCTGACCTGATGATTTTAAAGGAAGGCTCAGGGAGACAAAGGAAGGAAGGAAAGAAAGAAAGTGCAAAGACAGAGTTAGAAAACCAAAAGGGAAGAAAGAACTTAGTATTTTTTCGAGCTGAAACAATGAAAGAAAAAAATAATGAAGACTTCTATAGGCAAAATGATGAATGAGGGTAGGAAGCATCAACACAAGATGAAAGGCGAAATATTCAGAGTCCCTGTACATCCAAGTGTTTCAGTAGCTAGCAGATAATCAAGAGCTGAAGGTACCGAAGGAAGAAGTCCTGGAAGGCATTGACAAAAAACAAGGGTCCAGGAATTGATGGCACCCAATTGCAATGTTTCAACAAACAGATACAATACTGAAGCCCTGATTCATATATACCAAGAAATTTAGAAGACAGACAGTTAACTGGCCAAACGACTGGAAGAGATCCATATTTGTGCTCATTATAAAGAAAGGTTATCCAAAAGAATGCGGATATTATCAAACAATTCCAGTGATATTACATGCAGTTACAATTTTTGCTGACGATTATTTAAACATGATTGCAGCAGTATATCAGCAAGGAATTGCCAGAAATTCAAGGTGGATTCAGAAAAGGATGTGGAATGAGGGCTATCATTACTTAGGTCTCAGAAAGATGCTTACCTGTGTTTTATTAACCACAAAAAGGCATTTGATTGTAAGGATCATTACAAATTATAGGCAACATTCTTTTTTTTTTTTTTTGGCAATATTCTTAAGAGTGATAATTCCAGAACAACTAATTGTGTTCATGTAGAATCTACAAAAAGACCAAAAGCCTATTGTTCAAACCAAACAAGGAGATAATATATGATTTAAGAAAGGTATATGCCAGGTTTTATCCAGGGGCAGATTATACAATAAACAGGGTTAGCAAAGGCTTTCTTGAGTTTATTTACTAATCTGTGAACAGCTTCATAAGTTTTTCCCCACGTCAAGACAGTTTTTACGTTGCTTACTGGGGACCCTGTACCTGTCAGGGATTGTAAATTTGAAAAGAGGTTTAATTTTGATGGAAGGTGCTATGTGGTAGGGAGAAATGCCAACCCTACCAAACAGAATCTTTGATGTGATGGGGAAAAAATTAAAATTGTTTACTACAGTTTAGAAAGCACATATAAGCCTATGCTTATCTTGCTTATTGAGTCGTCTGCCCGCTTGCATCCTTTCACCATACCTATTCAACTTTCCAAGCACCTAACCAGAAAAGCAGAACTACACACATAAAGCGGAGTGCACCATTAGGATTAGAGGAAGACTCATCAACAACGTGCAATGTGCAGCTGACTGACCCAACCTTGCCTATCAAAGGGGGATTTGAAGATATTACTGATGAAGAGAAAAGAATATAACTCTCAGTGTGCATTATACCTCAACATAAAGAAAACACAATCTTCACACGTGGACCAATAAGCAAAATAATGACAGAGAAAGCATTGAAGTCATCAAGGATTTAATTTTACTGGGATCCACATCGATGCCCCTGGAAGCAGCAGTGAAGATGTCAAATGATGTATTGCATCATTTACATATCTACAGCAAAAGACAACTTTAAAGCATTCAACAGCAACGACATCACTTTGAGGGCTAAGATGCATTTGCCCAAGCCATAGCATTGCCCATATGCATATAAAAACTGGAAAATGAATAAGGAAAATTGAAGAAAAATGTATGTCTTTGAGTTATCGTGTTGGAAAAGAATTTTGAATATACCATGAGCTGCTAGGATAGCAAACACCCCTGTCCTGGAACAAATGCAGTCATAATGCTCATCAGAATGGAAAATGGCAAGGCTCAGTCTCACATATTTTGGATATGTTGTCAGGAGGGACCAATCTCTGCATAAGAACATCATGCTTAGTAAAGTAGAGGCATAACAAAAGGAGAGATCATCAAGGAGATGGATTGATACTGCAGCTGCAACAATGGGTTCAGACATCGCAACAACTGTGAAGATCCTGCCAGAATGGGCAAGGTTTCCTGCTGTTGATCATAGTATTACTATGAGTCAGAGCTGATTCCATAACACTAACAAAAATAACAACAGATATCAAAATCAAAATTTACTTATTAAATTGTTAATGAATAATCTTATTCAATAATCATATAAGAAAAATACAAACTCTAACAAAAATTCAATTAGTAGAATAGTTGAAGTCAGGACTATCCAGATAAACCTGTAGTTTCTACCTAGTTTAGCTCTAGGTGCCTAGAAGTAAGATAAAAATTATGAGTTCCTCCCCCCAAATGGAACTTTTCCCCCCAAAGCGAAATAGTTTATTTATTTATTTAGTTAATTTAGCTAATTTATTTTTTAATAATTTTATTAGGGGCTCATACAACTCTTATCACAATCCATACATACATCAATTGTGTAAAGCACATTTGTACACTCATTGCCTTCATCATTCTCAAAACATTTGCTCTCCACTTAAGCCCCCGACATCAGGTCCTCTTTTTTTCCCCTCCCTCCCTGCTCCCCACTCCCTCATGAGCCCTTGATAATTTATAAATTATTATTTTGTCATATCTTGCCCTGTCCGATGTCTCCCTTCACCCACTTTTCTGTTGTCCATCCCCCAGGGAGGAGGTCACATGTAGATCCTTGTAATCGGTTCCCCCTTTCCAACACACTCTCCCTCTACCCTCCCAGTATCGCCACTCACACCACTGGTCCTGAAGAGATGATCCGCCCTGGATTCCCTGTGTTTCCAGTTCCTATCTGTACCAGTGTACATCATTTGGTCTAGCCAGATTTGTAAGGTAGAACTCGGATCATGATAGTGGGGGGCGGAGGAAGCATTTAGGGACTAGAGGAAAGTTGTATTTTTCATCGTTGCTACATCACGCCCTGACTGGCTCGTCTCCTCCCCGAGACCCTTTTGTCAGGGGATGTCCAGTGGCCTACTAATGGGCTTTGGGTCTCCACTCCGCACTCCCCCCTCATTCGCTATCCAAAGTACTCTCCATAACACTTAACATGTGTCAAATCTGTGATTTCATTCTTGGAAATGTTTTTCAAATGCATCTGTTTGGATGGATGACAGCACTTCCCTTGTTTTTTTTCTTCACCTCTTTTACTTCATCAAATTGCTGCCCTTTCATGTCCCTCTTCATTTGTGGAAACACAAAGAAGTTGCACGGAACGAGGTCAGGTGAGTCAGGTGCATAGGGCAAGAGAGGCATGCTGTTTTTGTCCCAAACTGGTGCACTGAGATGGGTGCATAAACAAGCATATTGTTGTGGTGGGAAACCCAATTCCCAATCTGCCAGAAATCAGGCCTTTTTTGGTCAGTGTTACGCAATCTTTTCAGAACCTCTAAATCGATGGAACAAAGTCCAATAGGCACTATCCCCCTCACGTCACATCTGATTTTGGGGAGTTCCCCCTCATATGTATTCTTGTGGCTTATACTAGAGGGAAAAATAGGGAACATGAGATTCAAAAGAAATAAATCAAATAGCAAATAAAAAAATAGCAAATCTACTGTCTTCCAAGTCAATTTCAATTCATAGCAGCCCTACGAGTTTCCGAGGCTTTGCAAATTTTAAAAAAGCAGACAGCCTCCTCTTTCTTCTGAGGAGCCACTGGTGAATTTGAATCACCAACCTTTTAAGTTTGCTTTATTTATCCAATTGAATTGAAGGGGGAGATTATGACACACTCTTTTTCTTGTATGCTTCTGAAAAATTTTAACAGTCTTTACCTATTTTGTTTAATGCTAATGCTGACTGCACAGTGTCAGTTCAAGCACATTGATACTGATAGGAATTCAAGGAATAGACACCAACTAATTATTTGTACTATATCAATATAAAATGCAGTGCTTATATTAAAAAAATAATTTCTTACTTTTCAATCACATAAGAAAAATCGGGATGAGAGCATTTTTTTCTAGAAAATCTACAAAATAGAAAACATAATGAAGTTATAGTAGTATCATTCTTTATATATTTACATAAATTTAGTTCAGTGATTCTCAAATGAAAGAGTAACAAAGAATCATCCTTAATCCACACACTCTCTAGAATTAGCAACATTTCTTCTTTTTTCAAACCAATTTAAAATTTATTAGTTTACCTTCCATATTTCATATATATATTTTTATTAAAGGTAAAACCTTTCATCTAGCAGCTGAGCACTTCAGGCACTGTGCCACCACAGCTCGCTAAAATTCATGTGCTGATACATGGTACAACATGGATGACATTGCACTTATTCTATGTGCCATAAACTAGAGGCAAAAGATTACATCGTATAAAACCCAAAACCAAAAGTCACTGTCCTTGAGTCAACATTGACTCATAGTGACCTTACAAGACATGGTAGAACTGCCTCCTATGAGTTTCTGAGATTATACTGTTATCAGAAGTCGAAAGTCCAGTCTTCTCCCGTGGACTGGCTGGTGGTTTCAAACTGCCAGCCTTGTGGATTGCAGCCCAATGTGTAACCACTATGCCACCAGGGATCCTTTACATAGTATAAAAGTCTAACTTTACATGGAATATCTGGAATAGGCAAATTGATAGAGAAAGTACATTAGCGTTACTAAGGAGTGGGCACAGGAGAAGAAAGGTAGTTATTGCTTAATAGTTGAAGAGTTTCTATTGGGGTGATGATGTTTTGGAAATAGTGGTCATGGTCGCACCACACTGTGAATGTAATTAACGTCACTGAACACTTAAAAATCGTGAAAATGGCAAATGTTACATATTTAACACAGTAAACATTACTATGTGTTTCATTGTCAATCATAGTAAGATTAGAAAATCATACTTTGGGATTCTCTGGAAGAAGTAAAATATTACAACCGATATAAGGTGGAAAACAGACGTTTCTCCTCATTTCTCTAGGAATGAGCTGTAGAGCCATACAATAGAAACTGATGTAAACAGACTCTATTAAAGGGGAAGAAGAGAAAGGGCTTCATTCTTTTAGTGTGATTGAAGTGTAATGTTTAACTCGGCAAAAAGTTTTGAAAAATGGGCAACAACGTCAGTTCCATTTTGGATTTCATTATGGACCTGCCAGTCATCAAACCAATATTACTGATAATCGTTACCATTTAGTTCACCACGTGTTTTTCAAAGTAAGGAGGTAAAATGGAAACAAACTTGCCCTTTAACAGCGATGTATTTCTCGGGATCGCAGCCAATAATCACTTGGAACACCTAAGAGGAAGTAATACAGACCGTAAGTTCTGTGGTTCTGAGTCATGGGATCTCAAATATGACCAGCGTTACAAACAATTACCTGTTAGATATGGAATAAACTTTAAAATATAGGTTTCTGTTAGATTGTTGTGTGTGATTTTCATTTTTCTTTTTAAATCATTTTATCGGGGGCTCGTACAACACTTATCCATACATACATCCATTGTGTCAAGCACATTTGCACATTTGTTGCCATCATCATTCTCAAAACATCTGTTTTCCACTTGAGCCCCTGGCATCAGTTCCTCATTTCCCCCCTCTCTCCCCATTCCCCCTTGCTCTGTGCTATTTTCCTCCTTCTTCCTTGTTCATTTTTCTCTTTGTTTGCTTCCATGTGTTCTTACTGCTTACAAAAGGTTGATTTTCTGCTCTCCTACATTACTATTCAGAGCACCACCATGACCCTATCTGTCACTGCCACCTCTATGACCATGACTATGAACTCTGTACTTCCGGCTTTCACCCCTGACTCAGTGGGCAAGTGTTTTCTTGCTTACTTATTTGATTTCCAACTCAAGATGTCATAAACTCCAGTTGGCACAATGCCTTGGCCTTCAGGCTAAACACTTTCTACTGTATGATACTACTAATTTGACGTCTCTTTAACCAGAGCCTGGTTCTGCTCTAGGAAAACTTACTCACTGCTACCTGCACACACCTCACTTCAAGGCTTTCTAAGAGCTATCTGGACACCTGCATTCTGCCTTAAATATGATGCTGTGTGCTGCATATTTCTATAAGGCGAACTTGGGAAAGTCTTGTTACTTGCTGCCATTACTCATTTCCCTCTAAGAGGGACTTGGGAGTCAGGAGGGTGGAAATAGGGTGTAACAGCTAGCCAATGCTTAGTAGATGTAAAGACCTGTTCTTGCTAAACCAAGAATTTCGGCAATTTATTTATTCATTATTTGTAGTGTACTTTATTAGTTTCAGAAATCAAGCCCATGTAGATAAAACCTTACATAAGTGATGCAGTGTTATCCCTGTACAAATGAAAAAAACAAAACAAAAAACAAGCTTGACATTTCCAGACCAGTATGGCTGTTAATTTCTGTATAATGCAACTAGATATGGTACAACTGGGATACTTTTCCAAAGTGGACAGCACAGCTAAAGTTTTCAAAAATTAAATTATATATGCATATACATTTATATAAAAAGAACAATTGGGGGAAAGAGTGGGGGGGGGGACACAAAACAAAACTTCAAAAACCAGCAAAGTTCTGCTACTCTTGTGGTATCTGGCGCTATTTTTTAAAATTAGCTTCTCAATCATCATCTGGGAAGAAAGCATTCTGAATTACATCATTAAAAAACAGCTCTGATATAGCACAGTCACTATACATAAAGGTATTTAATATTCATACTGGTATGCCATAGTACAGTGTAAAATTACAGGATATATTTTATTTTTTCATTCTATTAATTTTCTTTTAAAGATAATTTCATTTGGGGCTCTTACAGGTTTTTTAAAATCATTTTACTGGGAGTTCATACAGCTCTTATCACAATCCATCCATCCATCCATTATGTCAAACGCATTTGTACATATGTTGCCATCATCATTTTAAAAACATTTTCTTTCTACTGGAGCCCTTGGTATCAGTTCATTTCCCCCTTCTCCCACCCTCCCTCACGAACCCTTGATAATTTATATATATATATATATTTTCATGTCCTACACTGACTAATGTCTCCTTTCAACCCACTTTTATGTTGTCCATTCCCCAAGGAAGGGATTATATGTAGATCATTGTGATCGGTTCCCCCCTTCCTCCGCACAACTTTCCTCTTCCCCTCCTGGTATCGCTACTCTCAGAGGAGTTTATCTGTCCTAGATTCCCTGTGTTTCCAGCTCTTATCTGTACCAGTGTATATGCTCTGGTTTAGTCGGATTTTTAAGGTAGAATTGGGGTCATGATATTGGAGGGGAGTCAGGGAAAGGCAGCATTAAAGAACTAGAGGAAAGTTGTATGTTTCCTTGGTACTATACTGCACCCTGAATAGCTCATCTCTTCCTTGTGATGGGGTCCAATTGTCCTCAGATGGGTTTTGGGTCTCCACTCTGCACCCCCCTCATTCACATTGATAAGATATTTTGTAAAAACAATTTTTAAAAAACCCCAAATAACCCTTAATAAAAACAAACAAACAAAATCATTGGATTCATATAAAGATGACCTAGTGGAGGCAAGCAGTACATGCAACCTATCCATTATTTCACCAATTCTGTTATGTTTGAATAGTGAGAACTCCATGGAAGAAAAGATACCAAGTAGTGCTTCAAAGTTTTGGGTCACAACCAAACCACAGCAACATTTCAAACAAAAGCAGTAGGCACACATTGCTTATTTGGAGATGTTCAAGAATCTTTGTCATCTGGCCACTCATCCAGAAAGAAGGGGAGAACAGTAGCTGTGTTTGATTGTGTTTAATTTAACCACCATTTTACAAAAATAGCAAGTTGTCATAAAAAAGAATAAGGTTCATCTATCCAGTACCAATTTATCTTCAGTTCTTCACCACCAAGCCTACAAATGCTGTAACCATAGCCAAAGAAGCCAGGAGAGCAAACAAACCATGTTCTAACATAGTAGCTGGGACCACCACATTATTTGGGGTGAGCTCTTCTTCTGCAGTGTAATTTTCACTCCTATTTCTGGTGTTTCATCTAATCACCTGGATTTTAGTTCTAAATTATATGCATTCAAATAATATGTGTTTATATTTTGTAATACAGGATGGATTCTTCCCTTGGGGGTCTATGCAAATAATGTTGAGCTTTTTCCCGAATGACTGGATGGCCCTCCCTAGTTTACTCACCAATCTTTCATGCTTCATTAAAAAAGAAATATTCTACAGTAAAATTTGTTTTTTCAAAAACTGTACCTACAATCCTTTTGTTCAGAATCATCAAATCTTAGTATTCTCATCAAATATATTGAAAATATATTCTCATCAAATATATTATAGAATATATAATTATGTACAAGCAAAATCTATTGTAGTCATCAGGATCCACTGTCACTTGGCCTTATTCATAATGTCTCCTCTCTCTTATGCTCAACTTGACAAAAGTCACCCCTAGACTCAGAATAAAATAGCCTGATGATTATTAAAAATACAAACTAGGGGACCCTGGGAATATGGTGCTGAGATAGAGCCCCTGCCTACAATGCCCTGGCTTGACCCAGAGAGTGACAGGTGAGGACGATTTTTGGGGACCTGGATCCTTGGCGCTCTATGAAGATTTTGGACCTTGCTTGATCTCCAATTTTTTCTCCCCTGGAGGACACAGCATGTATGGTCCCCTCTCTTCTACCTCCACAGGTCAGTGTGGAGGTGGTGCAAGGATCTCTTGCTTGTTCCATGAAAACAAAAACAAAAACTTCTTCTCTGGCTTTTAAAATATTAATGGTGGTCCTTTTTTCTTACTCATTGTTTGTATTTTTATCTTCATATTACTATTGTTTTATCCTTACCACTTCATTTTGGTTTTGTTCTTGACTTCTGTTGGGTTTACCAGTTTGTGAAGCACAATAAGCATGGATGCATAGAGATAATAACTGATGCAAGGATTTGTAGGGGATGCAAGGATGGGTGGGGGGAGGTGGGGAGGGTGAGAGGATTTTAGGAGTAAACAATGAAGGTGGGAGGGGGCATGAGCAATAGAACTGAAGGTGATTACACAACTCATTTTAAAGACAACTTAATCATGGGGGAAGAAAGAAAATGTTCTGAAATTGATTGTGGTAATAATTGTACAATTATTCTTAATATTATTGGACTATTTAATTGTGTTATATGTGGATTAAGTGGCCAATAAAACTATTTGAAAAATTGCCCACCAAGAATCTTATCTGGCAAAGCCATCCATCAAATTTGAAGGAAAAATATAAGTAGTCTGAAAAAGAAATATTTAGAGAATTTGTAAAAACAAAACCATCATTGCAGAAAAATATTATCCAGTTCTTTATGGTCAGAAAACCAACAACTCTAAGGCTCAAACAGGAGACCACCACAGTATCCCAAAGAGTACAGATCTACTGTGGAAACAAAAACAGGAATAAACTACCCACCCACCCACAAACCCCAAAAAGGGGGTTGAAGGAAAATATCAAGCACAAATAGTAAGAGATGACAGAGACTAAACTACATTTAGAATTAATAAACTGGATGTCAATGGACTAAACGCACCAATAAAAAGACAGAGTGGCAGACTGGTTTAGGAAACAAGATCCATTAATCTGTTACCTTCAAGATATACATCTCAAACTCACAGACAAAAATAGACTGAGAGTCAAAGGATGGCAAAAAATTTACCAAGCAAGCAAAAACAAAAACAAAAATCAGGGGTGGCAATATTAATTTCTAACAAAATAGACTTTAAGGTACATGAAATAATGAGAGACAAGAATGGACATTAGATATTGCTTAAGGGATAAATAGACCAAGAATGCATAACTATAGTAAACATATGCACCTAATGAAAGACCCTCAAAATTCATCAACCAAATTCTCAAAGAAATGAAAAAAGAAATCTCAGGTGAACAATAGTAGTAGGTGACTTCAATACACCACTCTCAAGGAAAGATATGTCAACAGGCAAGAAATTCAATAAAGAAACTGAAGAGCTGAACAACACAATCGAACAACTCTCTTCCTAAACATTTACAGAGTTCTTTAACCAACAGCAAAAAATACACATTTCTTTCCAACACACATAGCTCATATTCTAAAATAAACCACGTTAGGCCATAAAGTAAGCACTGGCAAACTTAAACACAGAGAGATCATTCAAACCAGGGGTCCTCAAACTATGGCCTGTGGGCCACATGCGGCCCACTGAGAACATTTATCTGGCGCTCTGGGTGTTTTTGCCCCATTTGTTTTTTTACTTCAAAATAAGATATGTGCAGTGTGCATAGGAATTTGTTCATCGTTTTTTATGAAAACTA